GCTCCACTAACACCAGCTCCCCGAAGACTAGAGTCTCCTGCAGTCACGGGCTCAGCTCCAACTCCAGCACCCCCAGAACCAGGACCTCGCACAGGTACGCTCTCTGCTCCAACTCCAGCACCTCTAGAGCTAGCACCTCCAGGGTCCTCGCCACGAAAACCGGCTCCCGCAGGGTCTGCTGTAGGCTGGGAGGAGAACTGCGGGGAAGGAGGCTGCACCTGACGGGCTACCGAGGGGGGAGGGGTAGCGTGGGACACACCTGACGAGGCGGGACCAGGGGGGGGAGGCTGTACCGGGGGAGCAGGAGGGGGAGCTGAAGTCAGGAAGAGAGGGGGAGGAGGAACCGGGAGACCTCGACAGGGGTACCTGACGTAGTAGGGGACGGACTCGTCGAAACGGACGTCACGAGAGTCAAAGAACCGGTGAAGGGGAGGGTGGTAAAAGGTGTAGTCAGAGGAGTCAGCAGGGAAACCAAGGAAAATGCAGGGAACAGCGCGAGGCGAGATCTTGTCCGCGGAGGTGTCGCGAACAAGTGCCAAGCAACCCCAGACACGAAAACGCGACGCAGCACCAGGGGACCCGGTCCAAAGACTGGTCGGTGAAACCTCTGGCCGAGAGACACGTGGCCAGAGGTTCAGCTGGTGAGCGTCGTACCGAACCGCGTAAGGCCACAGAAAATGGGGGGCACGGGCGTGAGTCATGGAGGTGCGGGCGATCTCCATTACCAAGCCTATGCGGCGCTCAGCAACCCCATTCTGCTGTGGGGACTCTGGAAGCGTCCAGGACTGACGGATGCCCTGCTCGCGACAGAATCCAGCGAGAACGCCAGAGCGAAACTCACCCCCGCGGTCGGAGTGAAGACAGCTGACACGACAACCACGAGTGTCCGCATTGGTAAGTAACCACCGGATCAGCGTAGAATTCACGTCGGACTTCTTCGCCAGGGGGAACACTGTGGTGTAGCGGGAGTAGTCGTCAACGACCACGAGAAAGAAACTCTCTCGCTCAGGGCCAGGGCGCGAGGCGGGGCCCCAGACGTCCAAGTGGAGAGTCTCGAAGGGCTCGGTGGCCGGACGAAGGGAGGAGGAGTGAGGGGTGGCGCGCAGCCGACCCTCGACGCAGGGACCGCAAGGTGGTGCAAGCGAAGGCGGCAGCGACGGCAAGACTCGCGGGAGGCCTAAGACAAGACGCTGACTAGACATAGCGCGCAGGCGAGAAATGGACGGGTGCCCCATCCGGTGGTGCCACAAAACAGTGGGGTGGGCAAGTGACCGGCAGGAGCACGATGCAGCAACTGGACCAGACACCGGAACCTGACTAGACACAGCTACCTGGGGAGACGTGGCAACCTGGTGAGACGCGGGAACCTGACGGGGGGCAATGACAGGGGTCGGGGGCAGTACCTGCTGCTGCTGCTGCTGCTGCTGCTGCTGCCCTCGAGGGCCAGTGTGAAGTGTGTAGAGACCAGAGCCCGACTCAGCGGTAAAGGTGGCGAGAGGCGCGTACGTGTCCCCGTCGACACAAACCGCAGTCTCGCCAGAAGGCTCAATCCACACACCCACGTGCTGACTCACGAGCGGCCTCACGCCCACCAAGTTCCTCGAGAACGAGGGGACGTGGAAGCCGGTCAGAGAACCGGAGGGAACAGCCGGGCACGGAAGCGTAGTAGTGTAGCGAGCAGTGACTGGTCCCGAAGTGGGATCAGCCAGTGCTACAGAGACCGGCGTAGGAAGCGGGGTAAGTGTTGTGCGGTCGCGGAAGAAACAGTGCGAAGCTCCGGAGTCCAGAGTGAAAGACAGCGAAGCGTCCTCCGGAGCAGCTCCTGGACTAGTGTCTACACAAGTACCTACACTAACAACAGGCACCTCAGCAAGACTAGCATCTAAGCTAACAACACTCGAATAAACTGAGTCAGAAGCACTAGAGTCAACAACAGGATACATAGCATGAGGAGTTCCTAAGAGATCAACCAACTGAGAAGCCAACATGCCCCACAGAGCGGGGCCGTACGTCTGAACAAGGGGAAGCCAGTCAGGGGCAGGGCCGTCAACGCCGTAGGCCAACCGAACCGTGTCAGTAAGCTGAGCAAAGCACTGACCTGGTGGGTGGTTGCGACCACAAGGCTGGCCGCGGCGGGCACCTGTCAGAACGTGATAGGTGCAGGGAGAGTGGACGACACCGCGCTGCAGCTGACGCTGTCCTGACCCCTGCCTCGAAACCTGCTGCTGCCGCTACTGCTGCTGTGGCTGCTGCGAGGGGAGGGGCTGCTGCTGCTGCTGCTGCTGTCGCTGAGTCAGGTACCACGCCGCTGCTCCACCCCCTGCGGCTGGCAGACCAGTAGGTGGCTGACGAACCCGGGCGTCACCTCCACCAGCTGCAGCAGGGGAGTCACCGACCGCTGTACGAGACGCTCCTCCAGCCCCTGCACTCCCGCCGCCACCGCTCGCCACGTCACCCCCACCGCCTCCGCCGCCTCCGCCCGCACCCTGACCGCCCCTCCTGCCACTCCTACCCCGAGACCGCGAAGAAGTCGTAACAGCAGCTGCGGTCACGTCAGTAGCGGCAGTGGCGAGGGAGGCAGTAAAGGTGGGCAGCTGAGGGACAGTGCACCCGTGAAAGAGTGGAGGGGGCACAGCACCAGAGGCAGGTGCTATCGAGCGGAGGTTGCTCTCGGCGTCTTTGAGGGCCGACTCAAGGACCTCGATAGTGAGCTCGCTAGGGTGCTTCAGAAGAAGCGCGTCACGAACCGAGGCAAGGCGGTCAGGGAGGCTAGTGGCGATGAAATAGATAGTAATCGCCATGGGGGGAGGGAGCAGTGCAAGCTGTGCGTCAGTGCAAGCAGCGCGGTAGCTAGAATCGAGCGAGCGTAGATGAGTGATCAAGTCAGCAGTGCGCTCAAACGAGGCGAGGTCAGGAAACAGGAACGGAAGGAACAGGCGACCAAGAGAGACAGTGGTGGGAGTAGCGTAGCGGGCCTTGATTGCAGTCAGGAACTCACTAGCCGTGCGAACCTGAGTGAAGTGGGTCTCCTCAGACTCAAGGAGGAGGTTGCTGAGGGCGATGCAGGCCGCAGCGTCACGCGACTTCCACGCGGTCACGTCAGCACGCTCGTGTGCATAACGGTAACTGTCTGCAGGTGTGGGGTCAGCTGCTAAGGGTGCAGGGTCGTCGGGCTTAGGAAGGTCGCCAGAAGCGTGTGCCCACAGAGACTCATCTGCCTGAACCTGACTCTCTAAAAGGCGGCGCGCACGCAGGAGCCAGACGGTGAACTCAAGCGGCCTACCCTCGGCGTCAAAACGCAGGACCCTAGGGGTCGCCATAGCAGGAGCTAAGAGGTGGTAACCGTTGTTGCCGAAACCCTAAACGCCTAAAGGGTCTGCGTAGGGCGTGACAGACAGACAGGACGCAACTGGCAGGGACGGGCACGACAGGTGCGGACAGGCAGGGCGCACGGGGCGCGATGGACGGGCAGGGCGGAGCGGGGGCGCGACGGGCGGGCACGGCGCACGGGGCGCGACGGACAGGCAGGGCGCAGCAGGGGCGCGCACGGGGCGCGACGGACGGGCAGGGTGCACGGGGCGCAACGGACGGGCAGGGCGCACGGGGCGCGTGCGACGGGACGGGACGGGAAGCGCGACGCGGACGGGACGGGACAGGACGGACGGCGCGACGCGGCGGGACAGCGCGACGCGACGGGACAGCAGGGACAGGCGCAACGCGACGGGACAGCATGGGGCGACGCGACGGGACAGCACGGGCGACGGGACGGGACGGGACAGCAGGGGCGACGCGATGGGACAGCAGGGGCGACGGGATGGGACGGGACAGCAGGGGCGACGGGACGGGACGGGACAGCAGGGGCGACGCGACGGGACAGCAGGGTCGACGGGACGGGACGGGACAGCAGGGGCGACAGGACGGGACGGGACAGCAGGGGCGACGCGACGGCAAGCGCAGCGGGCGCTAGGGCACGAGAGAGACGAGCGCGATAGGCGCTAGGGGATCGTACGGGCGTAACGGGCACTAGGGTACGGGACAGGCTCGGGCGCTACGGACGTGAACGAGAGGAACGGGATCCCACAGGATCCTAACCTAGCTGATACCATATCAAGAATGAAAGTGTTGGTTTGACTAAGGTTGGTTGGGGTACATAAACCTAACCCTAATAATTGTACCCCCTATAACACACATCACTAAGACTACAACATTTGACAGTAACAACTGCCATTCAAAGGACATTGGTACCAATCTAGAGCATCAGTCTACAGTTGCACTAGAAGACGCTGCGACAATCACCGCCATTGCGTGCTACTAGGAAAGTGGGAAGCGGAAGGAATAGGAAAGCCGTATGAGAGGAAATACCATGCAGATTCCAGTCAGTTGTGAAAGTTCAAAGGAGCATGTTTAGGATTCGATGGGGGGATCATGTGGTTCACGTGGTGTCCTTGACAAAAGTGGGGGGGGGAGGGGCATCAGGCGCATGCACAAGACAATCATGAAAACTTTCGTTGTACGAGCGGTTACCGTGTTGCGGACAGCTTCGCAAAGCTGGGGTGCTTTTTTTACGACGACCTCGGGCTGCCCCACCACAAAAACTGAAATTTCTCCAGGAAATCCTCCAGCACTATGGATGGAAACCGTAACATTTACATGTTCCTTACAGTTTCACACTGAACCGTAACTGCAAACGAAGGTACTGATGGGAGACGATTATAGATCACTAAAAGGACATGCACCACATTGCAATTCTTTCAAGTTGCATACACAAACTGTTTCCCACCCATATAGCAGTCGCTTTTTCATCTGCTGATGCACATAACCATAAAAAGACTTGATTCACTCAACCCGCCACTGCCATCGTTGCGTACGACTGGAAATATAAATGATACGGTACCGAATGCATCAAACACCATCCTCGCCCCACCGAATCCCCCTCTCCTTCCCCTCCCCACACCCTCCACTAGCAAACAAACGAAGTACAATGCAAGGTTCATAATACTTTACAGCCTTCCTAGCCTCCAGTCTTGATCCACATTTTCCCAATTTCCACTCTCATCCCCCCATCCACCCTCCTCACGCTCCTCCCTTCCATCATTTACCTTCTCCAGCTCCCTCTCTCCTCTCTCCCTCTCCTCCCTCTCCCTCTCCTTCTCCCTCTCCTTCTCCCTCTCCCTCACCTCCTCCTCCCACTCCGCATCCCACCCCACCTCCCTCTCTTCCGCTCGCTTCAGAATCGCCCGAGTGTTTGCATCCTCCACCACCCCATACCGTCTCATCTGTACTCGGTATAAGCGGGCTGCTGCCACCTGCCTGTTGTGCAGCAGCGCGTCTAGTAACGCGTTAAAGAGGTGCGCATTAAGGGGGATGCTGGAAGCTCGTGCGTCCTGCATCGGTACGAGGAAGCGGGCAGAACCAGGGAAAGTACGATAAACACGTGGGCACGACGGGAAACTGAAACGGGAACATGAGAGGAAGGCAAGAATGCAAGCAGCAAGGCAAGTGAGGTCGTTCAGACAGGCAAACGAGCGAATGTCACAAGCAGTTGCTCAAAGCCACGCCTCTCCAGGCATTGTATTAGACGACCCACTCTCCAAGTATTAGACGACCCACTCTCCAAGTATTAGACGACCCATTCTCCTTCCTTTTGAGGTATTAGAGGGTCCACTCAAGTGCTTCCCCCCCTCCACCCCCAACCTCCATCCCCCCTTTCCTCACCTCGAAAGTCTTAACTGCTCCCTGCCAGTCCTTGGTCTTGCCGAGAATGCGAATGAGTGATGCCAGGGTGCACATGCTGACCCGAATCGAATCTACCCTCCCCCATTCCCTTCTCCCCTCACCTCGAAGATCTTCACGGCCCCCTGCCAGTCCTTGGTCTTGCCGAGAATGCGGATGAGAGATGCAAGAGTGAATGTGTTGGGCTTGCACCCCGCCTTGAGCATCCTTTGATACACTGTCAAAGCCGCTTCGGATTGGCCTGGTGGCAGGAGGAGAGGGTGGGGAAGGTTGGGGGAGGTGGGACGGATGGAGGAAGGGAGAGGGAGGTTGGGAGAGAGGGGCTGGGATGGAGAGGAGGGTGCGCATGGCATGACGCCAGAGTGAAGGTGTTCACTTGCACCCCGCCTTGAGCATCCTCTCATACACCGTCAGGGCTGCTTCGGATTGGCCTGGCGGGGGGAGGATGGGGAAGGTTGGGTGGAGGCGGTGGAAGGATGGAGGAAGAGAGAGGGGGGTTGGGAGGGAGGAGAGGGTGGGCATGGGATGACGCCAGGGTGAAGGTGCTCAGCTTGCGCTCCACCTTCAACATCCTTTACTACCCATACCTGCAAGCTCACGTGTCCGGATCACCCTGCTGTGACTCTGCCTGCCTGCACGCCAAGACTGCGCCACAGCAACTGCAGCGCCCTCTGCCACTTGGTTGTGTGTGTAGCCTCGAAACAACACGTACCTGCAAGCTCGCACGTCCGGATGACCATGCTATAACTCCGCACATCCGCTTGTACCCCCATCCTCTCCATCCGCCACAGCAGCTGCAACGCTCTCTGCCACTTGGCCTTGTGTTGACACGCCAGCAGCGCACAGTTACACACCACCAGTGTCGGTTCCAGCCCCTCCCTCTCCCCCATGTGCTCGAATAACGCCATGGCTCGGTCGAACTCCCCCGCCAGAGCCAGCGCCGAAGCTAGCCCGGACCACGTGAAGTGGTCTGGGGGAATTCCCAGTTTCTTCATTCGGGAGAAGACTGACAGGGCGATCTGCCATTGGCCTGAGGAAGGGGAGGAGGGGAGGGGCGGAAGGGAGGGTGTCGGGGAACATGGGGAGGAGCTGGGAGATGAGGGAGTGGTAAGGGCAAGGGAGTGGGAAAGAAAGGGGAAATAAAGGGGAGAGAGAGGGGGAGAGAGGGGGAGAGAGGGGAAGAGAGAGAGGGAGATGAGGCAGCATACCTGCGCGGGCGAGAGAGGAGATGAGGGCGTTGAAGGGCAGAGCAGAGTTGGGCGCTCCCAGCACCTCACCCCACGTGCTCCCCCCCTCCCACCGCTCCCCACTCCCAGCATCGGACGACCTGGGTCTGCCCCCCCCAGCAGCAGCACCAGCCGAAGCAGTATCACCACCAGCAGCACCAACAGCAGCAGCAGCAGCAGCAGCAGCAGCAGCAGCAGCGGCCGCAGTCCCCTCGTCCTGCCTAGCCTCAAAAGAACCATCAGGAGCAGGAGGGCCACTCTCCATACGTGAAGTGGCGGATGCTGCGACCCCTGCTGCTGGTTCACCTGCGACCCCCGGGTCTGTCCACGTGGCAAGGAGATCGTCCAGCAGGTCTAAAGCGAGGGGCCAGCGACCCACCTGATAGTCGAAACAGGAAGGAGTGGGGAAAGCAGGGGGGAGGGGGTGGGCGAGGGGGAGGAGGGAGGAAGGGGGAGGGGGGGGAGGGAGGGAGAAAACGGGGCGGAGGGGGATGGGGAGGTTGAGCCAACGGAAGATTGAACGAGGTAAGGAGATTGTTCAGGAGGTCTAAAGTGAGGGGCCAGCGCCCCACCTGATAGTCGAAACACGGGGAGGACAAAATGAGAGGGAAGGAGGGGCGGCAAAATAGGGAAAACGGAGACGCCTTAGAACATAAAACTTGGGGGAGGAGGTGGGATGCATGTGCGAGCGGAGTACGCTAGCCTTGAAGGCGACACAAATCACCCCTCTGTGCATGTCGGGAGTGACAGGCTGGCCTGCCAGCCGGGCGTCAAAGAAGAGCTGCAGTGCCAGGTCGCGGCGGTCGGCTCTCACAGTGGCTGTCCCTCCTCTTTGCAAAGAAACAGCCACAAACAGAGCGTACTAACCTTGGAGGCGACACAAATCAATCCTCTGTGCATGTCCGGAGTGACAGGCTGGCCTGCCAGCCTGGCATCAAAGAACAGCTGCAGCGCCAGATCGCAGCGGCCGGCGCGGACGAACGTGCTCATGAGCAGTGCGCGCGTGCCGGTGGACGGGCGGCATTCGTCGTCCTGCATGGCCTGGTATACCGCTAGTACCTCCTGCACGCGACCAGCTCTGATGAACAGGGGTGGGGTTATGGGAGGGTGGGTAAACGAAGGGAAAGAGATAGATAAGAGAGGCAGTGAGGGGATGAGAGACTGGGCGGAATTCGTCGTCCTGCATGGCCTGGTACACAGCTAGTATCTCCTGCACGCGACCAGCTCTGGTGAACAGGGGTGGCGTTGTGGGAGGGAGACAAATGGGAAGAGATAGAACAGAAGGGCACTGAGCTGAGAGGATGCAAGAAGAACTGGGTGGCACTCGTCGTCCTTCATAGTGCAGTATCAAAAGCCAAAGTAGCTTCAGCCCCATGCCTCGCATCTCTCCCTCCCAACACGCACCTTCACCATGCTCACTTCCCCCACACCCTGTTTCCACGCACTCACTCACCTTCCACACGCAGTAAGAACCGCGTTATAAGCCATCGTATCCGGTTTCAACCCCATCCCTCGCATCTCCTCCAATAGCAGCAGCGCCGCGCGCCACCTGCCGGCGCGTGATTGGGCCTGCATGGCGGCGGTGCACGCGTGGACGGTGGGAGCCAATCCCGCGGCGCGCATGCCTGCCAGCACACGCGCCGCGTCAGCGTACGGCCCGCTACGCGCCAATGCGGCGATCAGCGCGGTGTGTGCTGACGTGGACAGGAGAAACGCCCGAGCCTGGACAAGGGAAGGGTAGGGGGAGGGGGTTTGGCGGGGGTGTAGAGGGGTTAAAGCGGGAGGAGGTGTAAAGCGAGGAAGAGAAGACAGGAGCTTATATTATTTGGTTCAACCCTGCAGCCCCAACCAGAAACCTCGACTAGAACCCGAAACCCCAACTACATGAACAAAAGACTTACCTTTAGCCAGTCGAAGAGTTTCAGAGCGTGCCGGCTCTTGCCCGCGCGGCTCAGCTCCACCAACACCGCCGACGCCACCCCTTCCGTTAAAACCCCATTCGGTCCCACTTCCGCTTCAAGCACGCGCGACAGGTCTAGACTTTCGATAGTCTCTATCGGTTCCCGCGCCACTCGGGCCGCGAGTTCTGACACCACACTCGATGTCGCTACACCCGAGCCGCTTTCCGACACCACTGAGTCTTCTCCTGAGTCTTCGCCTAATGTGGCAGGCGCCTCGATATTGCCGGGTGCTGAGGAAGAAGCAGGAGGAGGAGATGAAGGGGAATTTCCAGAAAGTGCGTCTCCACCGTTGGATTCGGCCGGCGGACGGAGGAGGATCGACGACGACCAGACCTCCGTGATATCCGCGAGCTCGTCTGACAGGTAGAACGTGCCGTTGGCCGTTCGCTTCCGTAGCCGGCGGAGGCGGTGCGTCGCGGCGGGTCTCCGCGGGAGCGGTGGGGGAATGCGGGAAGAAAAGGGGAGCTTGCTTCCCCCGGGGGGAAGCGGAAAGTCAGCTTGCGGTCGGGAAGAGCCATCTCCTTCCCGTGAAAGGGTCCCAGCAGCTGATGTGCTACTTTCGAGCGTGGAGGAAGCTTGGGAGTCGTTTAAACGAGCAGAATCTGTTGGTCGCTCAGGCTTCGGTCGTGGAGGGACCGGACGCGGTGGACGTTTAGCTAAGTTACACTTAGGCGAGGAACTGACGCGGGATGGTGGTAATGACGGGAGAGGAGAATGCAGAATGAGCTGACTTGGACTCGTGGAAGGGCGAGACGACGGCGAAGCGCGTGAAAATTTAACCAGGCGAACGTCGCCGAGAAACGGTGTCGCTAAGTCCATTCTTCGAAACTAACTTCTGTGAAGGGTAGACGCTTCGGGAATACAATAGTTTCCCGGACGAGTAGCAGCTGTAGGAATAAGGGCGCGAAGGCGAATCGCTCAACGCCTAGATCCGTCAAACAGGGACTAATCCAGGAGGAACTGTGATGAAAATATAAACTGAACGATCAACAACGATCACCCACAAAACTAACTAGTACGAAATGCCTGAAACTAACTAGAAGAAAACACCTGCTGATTGGATGGGTGGGGGCCTGTTTTCCCCGCTCCCTGATCCTTGTTGTGGACCCCGCCGGATTTTTGTTACACCGAGTCTGACCGACCGCTGTCGATCTGCACCGCGTTTAGGCTTGCGTGGTACAAGTGGGACCACTTTCTACACCAACTAGCAGCCACTCATACATGCGCTCTAAGACAAACATCCAGTCATTCTACAGCTCATTTCACTACAAAATACATATACATTGCCATATATATGATATAACGAACCCCATTCAATGTGTGCATTTCACTGACAATGACAATGACTTCCCGCCTGAGACCGCCATGGCTGCCACCTGGAACTTCGGAGCTACCAATGTCGGTGTTCCTGGGTGTTACAGACACTAATAATCAGTTTACGAGACTCGCCTTAACACAGGGAGCATGTCGATATTATTTTGTTGTCCATACAGCGGACATTGCATTGACATTCCCTAAGGTCTACACTCGTCCGGTCCAAGTGTCTAACCTCTATGTTGTTCATCTAGGGTATTTACAAGCAGCTGCGTCAGCGCGTGGTTATCAAGGCTTTCAACAACCTCATCTCAACAACCTTGACAATGGAACTAAACCGGGCAACCAGTTTCCAGGTTTTGACAATAAGGCTTCACAGGCTCGCTTCGCGGGTGGTTATAAGGCGCTCAGAGAGTCTTCTTCTCCAGCACTTTGCTGGTTGTGGTGGCTCTTTCATCATCACGCTATGCCTCCCAGAGCGAGGCCTGTTAAGCCAGCTAACAAGATGGTCCCTGATGGTACTGCTGCTGCTGCTGTTACGCTGAAGACTCCGGTTGCTGGTCCGTCTACTCGTCCCGCAGCATCTGTCACGGCTGTCCCGTCGAAGTTGTCACGCACTCTGTTTGCGGAGGAGGATTCTGAGTCGCTGACGTTGTCTGCTAAGCTGGCGGCTTTCCGGATTGAGCAGGCTACTGGTGGGAAAGCGGACAAAGGCAAGGCGAAGGACGCGGATTTCAAGGATGCGGTGTCCGACGCGGAAGATGATGCTGCTGGTGACGAGGATCAGGACGCACCTGACGCTGCACGTCGCGTCAGCTTCATGGATGATGAGGATGATGGCCTTCAGGCGCATGACCCGAAGGAATGCTTCGAGGATAAGGCGAAGGAAGATCTGGCGGCGAAGCTCCGGTTCCCGCTTACTCTGCTGATCCCGAGCGAGCATCTGCAAGAAGTCCGCCGTACGCAGGCGACTGTCAAGGAGCTGCTGGGGATGTGGGGGAATGAGCTCACAGAACATGCATCGAAGACGACATTTCAGGAACTGGATCCGGGCTTTATTGCAAAGAAGCTTTTCGGTCGCATGCAAGTTATCTTCGTTAATGCTTCTGATGCTAATTTTGTCTGGCGCAACCGTGTTGAGCATCGGTGTGTTGACGGGAAGTACATCTTCCTGGACTGGCTTTATCCAGAAGATCCAGGGTACACAAGGAGGAAGATCACTGACCAGACCGTTATTGAAGTGCTGTTCCACGGGATTGCTGCGGAGATTTCCCCGGAGATGTTGCATGAGGCGCTCGCTATCTCTCCGCTGAAGATCTGCAAGCATCCGGCCTTTAAGGAGGGCTTCCACTTCCATCGCGTGGTGCACCCTGTTTCGGGGCTTGATACTGACCGGGTGAAGGGATTGGTGGTCGCTCACGAGAATGACCAGTTTCGGTGGCTGCACCAGTTCGAGAGCCCGATATCACCTGGAGCGAAGATCATGGTGCATTACCCGGCCCTGAAGTGTTCGCTCTGCGGGGGGATGCACTCTGTGCATAACCACAACGACTTCATTACAGAGCGCCAGAACAACATCTCCAAATGGAACCTCACAGTGGGGAGGATCCAGGAGCTCAACGGTAGAGATGGTGTTTCGCACTTACCTGTTTTTCCTGCTCGTGATGTCGCTTCATTCCTGCTCTTGGAGGTTTCTGATTTCCAGCTGCGTATCTCCCTTTCGTGCAGCGGCTGCGACTGTAGCCACCATGACAACCAGGATCATCCTCAAGGATCCCGCGCTGGTGCTGGTCTCAACGGCAGGGAACAGGGAGGAATGGGTCTGCCTGCTGGAGTGTTGCGAGAAGGCGAAGGGCTCCTCCTTCGAGCAGGCTGCTCATCATGCGCTTTCCCAGCGTCATCGGGGAGGGCTGGTGAAGCAGGGTGCTGCCACGCGTGTTCTCAAGGACAAGCTGAGCCTCCGTGTGCTGCGCAAGGAGTACGGGATCTAAGAGGAGTTTTTGCAAGGAGGAGGGGAAGTGGGGTGTTCCTGTTAGTACAATGTTCACAAGCCATGTATGCAGTGAGATATAGTGGTAACTTGCTCTGTTTCAGATACCTTTCTTCAGCCCGTGGATGCTATGGGGCTCTCACCTGGTTGATTAATGGATAAGGCCTGCAAGCTATCGGTGTGTGAGCTCAATGTGAATGGGCTCGGGAGTAGGGGCAAGCAACGGAACTTGAAAAAGTGGACAAGGAAGGAAGCAGATATCTACGTTCTTACGGACACAAGGGTTGCTCCGGACCACGAGTGCTGGAAGCGGTTGATGTTCCATCACTGCCTGGCGGTGGCAAATGTGGAAAGGGCTGGTGGAGTGGCGATTGTCAGTAATAACAAGCAGTTAACCTTTGAGAATGTTACGATGCATGCCTCAGGGAGGCTCATTCATGCGGAAGCAAGATGGGACACTTTTGGCTTTGCGATACTGGCGGCGTACCTTCCGGCGAGTGCGTGCAGCAGAGTCATATTTTTCAGGGATGTGCTGGGCCCGTTCCTGTCGGGGTTGAACTGCAACGGCAAGCTGATGCTGGTTGGGGACCTCAATGTTGTAGAGGACCCTGACCTGGACAAGTCCCCGAGGGGGGGTTCGTCTGGGGAAAATGGCAGGATGCTGCAGTTGTTCAGCGGCCTGCACATGGTGGATGCGTTTCGGACGCTCAACCCGAGTGGCCGCGAGTACACCTTTTATGCGAAAGCGACGATGTCAAGCTCCAGGATAGACCGAATTTTGGTGTCAGCTGAACTGCTCCCTTCGGTGGTGGAGGCGGCTCACACTCGGTCATTGAACGGCATTTCGGACCACAAATGCGGTGTAAGGGTGGTGCTGCAGGCGAGCTTGAGGCTGCACATGGGTCCAGGCATCTGGCGGCTATCATCTGCAGACACGGCAAAACCAGGGGTGGAAAAGGTGATTAAAGCGGTCATCGAGAGACATCATGCAGAAGTTTCAGGCAGTTTCGGCAATCTCCTCGCTAAGCTCAAAGCGGCGCTAAGACGTTATGCGGCGGAGGAACGGAAGCGGATACGTGCGACCTTGAGGCACCTGGAGCTTGCTGTTTCCGGGTTGCAACAGGAGCTGATGAGAAACCCCCGGCGGGATGATCTTCGGGTGACCCTGGCGGAGAGAGAGTCGCAACTGGCGGCATACCTGAAAGGGGAGAATGACAGGCTGCACCTCTTGGCGGGAGTAAAAGAGGAAACGAAGGGTGAGATTGCGTCGGGAGTCCTGTCGGCGAAAGTAAAGTCAAAAAAGACGCGGACGATGATCATGGTTTTGACCTCGCAAGGGGTGGAGCAGGCACGAGGGGTATTCTGGAAGCCGCCTCCCGTTTTTACGCGGAGCTCTTTGCAGAGGCTCCTCCGTCGGGCCTACCATGCTGGAAGCCGGACCCGCTGAAGACACTGGGTGATCAGGAGAAAACGGAGCTTGAGGCTGACTGGACAGAGGAGGAAGTGAAAAGGGCGTTAAAGGAGATGGCGTGTGATAAGTCCCCGGGAGGCGACGGTCTACCGAAGGAGCTTTTCGAGCGCCACTGGGACCTGCTGAGGAAGGACTTCATGGGTTTTATTAACCAGTTCGAATCCTCGGCGGTCCTTCCGGAGGAGGTGCAGGAGGCAGTGACCATCCTGCTTCACAAAAAGGGGCCAAGGGAGCAGGTGCAGAATTATCGACCGATTACCTTGCTGACAAGTTGTTACAAGGTGGTCGCGAAGCTGCTGGCTAACCGCATGAAGCAAGTGTTAGGCACGGTCATCTCAGAGGAACAGCATGGGTTCCTTCCAGGCAGGCGGCTCTCGGATGCAGTGTCGACGGTTGCGGATGTGATAGAGGCTGCTAACAACGACAGGGCGGACTGGTACCTGCTGATGATTGATTTTCAGAAGGCGTTTGACTCTGTGTCGAGGACGTTCTTATTTGACACGATGGCGCTGATGGGTTTCCCGAGTAAATTCATCCGGTGGTGCGAGGGGCTGCATGATGGTTCCTTCACGCGTCTGCTGGTGAACGGGTGGCTGGGAGACCGGGTGGACGTCCGCAAGGGGGTTCGGCAGGGGTGTCCCCTGGCTCCCTATCTCTTCTTATGCGCGGTGGAGCCGATCTGCCAGGAGGCAAAGCGCAGGAAGTTAGGCATCTGTGATGACTACGGCGACAGATTGGCCTACCTCGGATACGCGGATGACACGACGCTCGTGTTAAAAGGGAAGAGGCAGATTGAGAAAGCGGAGGAGCTGCTGGAGGAGTTTGGAGTTAGGTCCGGCCTCCGTGTCAACAAGGACAAGTCGGCGCTACTCCCACTGGGGGCTAACCTGAAAGAGACGAGGAATGAGGGATCAGACTTTGCATGGGTGAACCCAAAAGATGCGGAAAGACTTCTGGGGTTCTGGGTCTCCCCCTCTGGAAGCGCGGAAGTTACCTGGGATAAGGCGCTGGCCAGGGCGGCGGAGGAGCTCGTGAAGTGGCAGTCGCACCACCTAACCACGACGGCGAGGGTAGCGGTGGTTAACGCCTACATCTGTCCAATCCTGGCGTTTCAAGGGCAGGTCTACCCCCCGTCAGAGAGTGTGTGGAAGCGGATCATGAAGTTGCTGGTCAATTTCATCTCCGGCAATAAAGCGTCGACGGAGCGGCACTTCACGCTCTGGAGCAGAGAATTGATCTTCAGACCTCGGAAGGACGGAGGGCTGGGGGTACGTGACCCTTTCGTCGAGCTCAGCGGCCTCGCGGCCAGGAGGGTGGGGAAGCTGGTGTTGGTCAGAAGAGGGGTGCGCAGTTGGTTGACGACAAAGGCGGCCGACCTCCCTTCGGGCTTCCGCTCCTTCTGGGCACATCCGGAGTTCCTGAAAACATGGAAGGGTAGGAGCGTCAGATGGAAGCAGACTTGCGAAATGTTTATGCAGTCAAGCATTGCGAAGAAGGGCCCGCTCTCTCGCTGGGACATTGCGCAGGAGCCGCTGGTGTTTAATCGGCAATTCCTGCCGAACGGAAAGAAACCACTTGGACGGCAGGAAGCGGCGAAAGGGCTGGAACTTTTGAAACTCGGCGATTTTGTCGGCCAAGCAGAGGACGGCATTTTCTTCTTCAAGGATGAGAAGCTGCTAACAAAGGAGTTGGGCACGCGCAAGAAAGCGAGGAGGGCGCTCAGGGTTTTTGCGAGCGTCCCTGCCGCTTGGAAGGAGAAATTGGTAACGCCAATCACGGGAGAAGAGCTTCTGGCAGAGTCGGCCTTCGTGAAGAAGAAGGGCCTGGTGGGTGCCTGGAAGGCGGAGAAAGTGGTGCAAGATGGCCTTGCCTGCCGAGCATGTGACTGTTTTGGCGCGCCCCTGGTGGGGGTGGCGGAGACAATTGCGGTTCTCCCCCTGGACAAGGTGGAGCCGTTGATGGTGAGGGGCGGAAGGGTGATTGGAGCGGGCGGCCTACCCGAGGTACGGCTGCGCTGCTCGGAGCTCTGCATGGAGGATCAGGTCCCCCCTCTCAGGCAGCTGAGGTTGCTTTTTGGCGCGCAGCAAGGGGTGATGCAGCAGCAGGAGAAGTGGTCAGACGAGTGGGGAAGTGCGATTGACTGGAAAAGGGTCATCAGGGTGCGGGATTCCGCGGTGCTTCCGAACCGAGCCCGGGATGTCCTGCTTCGCCTGCATTGTCGGAATCTCCAAGTCGGGGTGAGACTGAAATTCCTGGAGGAGGTAACATGCCCGCACTGTGGGGAGGAGGAGACAGCGGAGCACTGCTTGTTCAGCTGCCCTAGGATTCAGCCAGTGGTGCGAGGGCTGTTAAGGGCTCTTCGGATCATCAACCCGGGCAGGAAAATCACTTCGCTGGGGGATTTACTGTTTCAGAAGGAAGGCTCGAGCTCGGGCTTCCCGGAATCCACAATCACGGCCATCGCTTTACATAAGATATGGGTGGAGAGGTGTGACGCGGTTTTTGAGAGAGGGCGGTTTCGGTCCAGGAGGGTATTACGAAAGATTGCAGCTACTTTCTACACTCACACGAGGATTTATCTTCGGGCGAAGAAGGGGAGTAAACGGGCAGGAGATATGCTGGGGCCGGGGCAACGTTCCATCCTGGAACGGTTGGATCCGGACGAATTTCGTCTGGTAAGCAGGGTCTATGACAGCTCGGCAAAATCGCTTGCGTGGACCAGTGGCTTCACCTCCATCTGGGCCAATCCACGCACGATTTTCCATCCCCCTTAAGTTGTCAGGATGGGTACGATGACAGGCTGTTGTCTAGGCCCATCAGCTACAGCTACGACTGTTAATGCTTGTATGCGCAGCTATAGTGTAACTTGCATTGCAAAAAAAAAAAAAAATGATATAACGAGTATAAGGATACATATATCTATGTAGGGCATCTACTGCCCACCTGACTATGTGTCTCCACGCATCTCATTTTCCTTCAATACAAATAACTTATCTCCATCCCTGATTAATTCAACAGCCGTCACAACCCCTGAATCACTCCCAACCAAACCAACAAAAGACGCGCTAAAAATGCTGGAAGCCGTTGATAGAAGGTCAGGGATGGACGGAGGGAGCGGCATAAGCTGCCCAACTCTCTGCGGCTTTAGCTCCCATGGGGGAAATGGAAACACCGTGATTCTCTGACAAGGAGAATGGGGCGGATTAAAGGATAGAAGGGAAGGGGGTTGGGGAAATGAAGGGGAGTAAGGAGCAAAAATAGATTTTAGCTATCAAATGGAGGTTATATATGCAGGATGGTGATGGTACCTGTGTATTCGACATACCACACGTGTGGATGTATACCAAACCAAGAGACAGCGCGCTTTACAAACGACGATTGCAAGCAAGGGAAATAACACCAGGGCCATTTTAAGACCAGACAACCATAAACAGCATTGCATATATTTAAAGGACCATTTGAGAGAGAAAAAAACCTTATTTTTTAGTCTCACCTTGGGCCCCAACGGAACCAGCCTTCCCATGCCAGCACCACCAGCCGAACCAGCCGCACCAGCGGCACCAGCGGCACCAGCGCCGCCACCATATCCCGTCCCTCCAGCCCTCCCGCCCGTCCTCCTCACCCCACCACCCCCAGGAGGCCTCCATTGCGCCCTCCCAGGCGACGTTCCCGGACCTCTCCTCTGGGGCGTGCCGGACCCGCTCAGGAGCGGCGTTCCCGAGCCTGACATGCCGATCCGGGGAGTTGCCGAGCCATCCTCGGTGATTCGGTCCCAGTCCGCATCGGCAGGGGCGAGGAGCGGGGATGGGTGCGAGCGTGTGAGGGAGTGGGAGTTGGGGAAGGGGGGAGGAAGGGTGGAGGTGGCACGTGTTGCCTCGGAGTGTGAATGGGGCAGGGGGGTGGGTGATGGGGTGGATGCATAGGGAGTGGCTGACGCTGCCACACCAGTTGCAGAGGCAGCAGCAGCAGCAGCCGCAGCAGGAGCAGCAGCAGTAGCGGCAGGAGCAGCAGTGGTAGTGGAGGCACCGGAAGAAGTAGCGGCAGGAGGAGCAGGGGGTATGGCAGCAGAGGGTGCTGCTGGCATAGGGGATGCTCCAGCAGCAGCCGAGGCGTTGAGAGACGCAGCAGCCACGGCTGTAGCAGCCGTTGCAGCACCAGCAGCAGCAGCTGCTGTTTTCCCTGCCCCTGTTCCTGCCTCTGCTCCTGCTCCTCCGTCTTCCCCCCCTTCCCTCTCAGCACCATCGTCAACGGATCCTCCACCAATCTCAAGCCCCCGTTCCCGCATGGCCTCCTCCAACAGGTGGATCAATGGCAAGCTGCCACATCGGCGCGCCTCATCCAGCGACGAGTTGCCCCACCTATCCAGAGCCGCCACGTCAGCACCATGCTCCACCAGCATGCGCGCCACCTGGACGAATCCCTCGGCGGATGCGATGTGGAGGGGCGTGCGGAGGTCGTAGTCGGCTGCATTGGGGTTGACTCCGTTGACCAGCAGCCTCCTCAGCAGTCCTGTGTCGCCCCTCATCACCGCGTTACACAGGTCTGTGCCTGCTTCCTGCGAGACAGGGGTTTATGCGGGTGGGTGGGAGTGGGGTAGGGGGAAGTGGGGATGGGGAAAAGATGGGAGGGGAGGGGGACGGTATGTGGAGAAAGTTGGGAGCGAGGGGAGGCAGGTGGGGGAGCAGGGCGGATGCGATGTGGAGGGGCGTGCGGAGGTCGTAGTCGGCCGCATTGGGGTTGACTCCGTTGACCAGCAGCCTCCTTAGGAGCCCCGTGTAGCCCCTCATCACTGCGTTACATAGGTCTGTTCCTACTTCCTGGGAGAAACAATAATATATGAAAAACAAAAGCGAAGAAATAAGTGGGAGGGATTCGGGTGGGGGTGGAAGTGGATGGGAGGGAAGGGGATGGGGAGGACTTGGCTGCAAGGTTCCTTACGCCCCTTCTCACCTGCAGGTTCACCGTGCCGTGCTCGTCCGTGAGGATCTTAGCAGTCGAGTCATTCCCCCCCGCCCTCAGCGCCTCCAGCAGAGAGCTGACACACCCCAAACCCATACCATGGGCCTGTGCATGAGCCAGCGCATCACACGCACCTGCAGGTTAACCGTCCCGTGCTTGTCCGTGAGGATCTTAGCAGTTGAGTCATTGCCCGCCCGCAGTGCCTCCAGCAGCGGCGTGGTGCCAAAGTTGTCCAGGCTGTTCACATCCGCGCCCTCCAGGAGTAGGAAGCGCACCACCTCGTCATAGCCCCCCGCTGCTGCTAGATGCTGCAGGGAGTGGTGGGGGTAAGGTGGGGAACGGCGAAAGGTGGGGGAGATGAGGTGCCTCCAGCAGCGGCGTGGTGCCAAAGTTGCCCAGGCTGTTCACATCAGCTCCTTCAAGCAGCAGGAAGCGAACCACCTCGTCATAGCCCCCCGCTGCTGCTAGATGCTGGGGGGAGGATGGGATGGGAGGCACGGGAGGCATGGGAGGGATGGGAGTGGAGACATAGGTGGGATGAAGACACGGGCTGTGGTGCCAAAGTTATCCAGGCTGCATAGATGGTCGGCATCGTGAGCTGAGCTCAGCCCCCCTGTCACACACCCCACCTTCTCAACCCATTCCTCATTCCCACCCTCCCTCCCTTCCTCTCTTACCCAACTTCCCTCCCCTACTCTCCCCCCCTCCCCACCCCCCTCCCTCCCTCCCCCCAGTACCCTGAAACCCACCAATGGCGTGCGTCCGTCATAGTCCGCCTTGCCCGCATTCGCTCCGGCCTTGATCAGCCTCTTGAGGTGCTCGATGTCCCCCCGTGAGGCCGCACAGATGGTCGCCATTGTGAGCTCAGCTAGGCATGAGCAAGGGCGCCCTTCAACAACCCACTACCACGACACTTACCAGTGGTGCGCGCCCGTCATAGTCCGCTTTCCCCGCATTCGCTCCGGCCTTGATCAGCCTCTTGAGGTGCTCGATGTCCCCCCGCGAGGCAGCATAGATGGTCGTCATCGTGAGCTCTGCCTCCCCCACACCCCACGCCTTCTCCTACCCTGAAACCCACCAGTGGAGTGCGCCCGTCATAATCCGCCTTGCCCGCATTCGCTCCGGCCTTGATCAGCCTCTTGAGGTGCTCTATGTCCCCCCGAGAGGCCGCATAGATGGTCGTCATTGTGAGCTCGGCCTCCTGCTGAGCATGAGCAAGGGTGCCCTTCAACCCACCACCGCCACGAGACTTACCAGCGGTGTGCGTCCATCGTAGTCTGCTTTCCCAGCATTCGCCCCGGCTTTTATCAGCCTCTTGAGGTGCTCTATATCCCCTCGCGAGGCCGCATAGATGGTCGTCATCGTCAGCTCTGCCTCCTGCTGCGCGATCAGAGACGTGATTTCCGATGCCAGTAACGCGTACTTGCTGCCTGTCTCCGTTGTGCGCTGGGCGATGGGAGGGGGTGGAATGGGATAGGACGGGAGAGGGATGGGGTGGGGTGGGATGGGTGGGATGGGTCGTCATTGTGAGCTCTGCCTCCTGCTGCGCGATCAGAGACGTGATTTCAGACGCCAGCAACGCGTACTTGCTGCCTGTCTCCGTTGTGCGCTGTTGGTGGAGTGGGCGGGGAGCGGATAAGATGGGATGCATGGGTGTTAGGCGAGGGGTGGAAGGGGTTGGGATGGGTCGTCATCGTGAGCTCCGCCTCCTGCTGGGCGATCAGAGACGTGATTTCCGATGCCAGTAAAAATAAAAGTACGATGTGTAACGCGTACTTGCTGCCCGTTTCCGTTGTGTGCTGGGGGGTGGGAGGGGGTGGAATGGGATAGGACGGGAGAGGGGTGGGGTGGGGTGGGATGGGTGGGATGGGTCGTCATTGTGAGCTCCGCCTCCTGCTGGGCGATCAGAGAGGTGATTTCTGATGCCAGAAGCGCGTACTTGCTGCCTGTCTCCGTGGTGCGCTGGGCGATGGGAGGGGGTGGAATGGGATAGGACGGGAGCGGGGTGGGGTGGGGTGGGATGGGTGGGATGGGTCGTCATTGTGAGCTCCGCCTCCTGCTGGGCGATCAGAGAGGTGATTTCTGATGCCAGCAGCGCGTACTTGCTGCCTGTCTCCGTGGTGCGCTGTGGAATGGGGTGGGAGGGGGATGGGGAGACGGGAATGTATGTGTTAGGAGGGAAAGTGGAAGGGCGAGGGGGGAGAGGGGGGTAAGGTAGCCTCTGATGGCAGCAGAGCGTACTTGCTTCCTGTCTCCGTTGTGTGCTGGGGTTGGTTGGGGCGCGGGAGAGCGGGGGAGGGAGCATTATGAAAATGCAGCTACAGCACGGACGAAAAAAAAGGAGAGGGGGGGGGGGGGGGGGATAGTCACTTGCTTCCAGCAATTTGTTGACCATGGAGAAATGGCCGACGGAATGATTTTTTAGGCTCCTCAGAAGTTGTTAACCATGGAGAAATGGCCGACGGAATGAAGGAGGCAGTAATGAATGAGGCAGTGATGAATGAGGCAGGAGAATGATGGCATCATGGCAGGACTATTCTCCTCCTTCATTCCATCCACCACACCATGTATGTGCTGATCGCCGTGTTCAGCTTCAGCTCGCCCCGCTCCAGCCAGCAGAGTACATGAGTGGCAGCGAGAGTATCCTACTCAGACTCATAAGCACCCACTCACCCACTCACCTCCAACAGGTTGTCTACGATCCTTGTGCCATCCACCATAAATGTGCTGATTGCAATGTTCAGATCGTCCCACTCCAGCCGGCACCGGGTGGCAGCAAGAGTACTCTGCTCAGACTTGGAAGCACCCTCTCGCTCACCTCCAGCAGGTTGTCTACGATCCTCCGGCCGTCCACCATAAACGTGTTGATCGCTGTGTTCAAATCGCCCCTCTCCTCCAGCCGAAGAAGCACATGAGTGGTAGCACGAGTACCTCACTCACTCAAACTCTAAAGCATTCGCTTCCCCGCTCACCTCCAGCAGGTTGTCGACGATCCTCCTGCCGTCCACCATGAATGTGTTGATCGCCGTGTTCAAATCGTCCCTCTCCTCCAGCCGAAGAAGCACATGAGTGGCAGCACGAGTATTCTACTCTTCGTAAGCACCCACTCGCTCACCTCCAGCAGGTTGTCTACGATCCTCCAGCCGTCCACCATAAACGTGTTGATCGCTGTGTTCAAATCGCCCCTCTCCTCCAGCCGAAGAAGCACATGAGTGGCAGCAAGAGTACCTCACTCAAACTCTAAAGCATTCACTTCCCCGCTCACCTCCAACAGGTTGTCGACAATCTTCCTGCCGTCCACCATGAATGTGTTGATCGCTGTGCTCAAATCGCCCCGCTCCTCCAGCCGAAGAAGCACATGAGTGGCAGCACGAGTATTCTACTCTTCGTAAGCACCCACTCGCTCACCTCCAACAGGTTGTCGACAATCTTCCTGCCGTCCACCATGAATGTGTTGATCGCTGTGCTCAAATCGCCCCGCTCCTCCAGCCGAAGAAGCACATGAGTGGCAGCACGAGTATTCTACTCTTCGTAAGCACCCACTCGCTCACCTCCAACAGGTTGTCGACGATCTTCCTGCCGTCCACCATGAATGTGTTGATCGCCGTGTTCAAATCCTCCCGCTCCAGCCGCAGCACCTGGGGGTGGGCACGAGGGTTGGAGAGGCTTGGTTGGCACGAGGGTTGGAGAGGCTTGGTTGGCACGAGGGTTGGAGAGGCTTGGTTGGCACGAGGGTTGGAGAGGCTTGGTGGGCACGAGGGTTGGAGAGGCTTGGTTGGCACGAGGGTTGGAGAGGCTTGGTTGGCACGAGGGTTGGAGAGGCTTGGTGGGCACGAGGGTTGGAGAGGCTTGGTTGGCACGAGGGTTGGAGAGGCTTGGTTGGCACGAGGGTTGGAGAGGCTTGGTGGGCACGAGGGTTGGAGAGGCTTGGTTGGCACGAGGGTTGGAGAGGCTTGGTTGGCACGAGGGTTGGAGAGGCTTGGTTGGCACGAGGGTTGGAGAGGCTTGGTTGGCACGAGGGTTGGAGAGGCTTGGTTGGCACGAGGGTTGGAGAGGCTTGGTGGGCACGAGGGTTGGAGAGGCTTGGTTGGCACGTTGTGAAAGCACACTGTCGCGACATGCCAAGCAGCATGGCAAGCAGAATGGCAAGCAGCATGCCGTGAGCAGAATGCAATTGCGGGAATTCTATCCTTGCAGTGTAATTTTCCCTCGCAAAGGGACGCACCTGGCAGAACGCGATGACCGAGAGGTCAAACGGCTGTGGAATGTTGCACAGCACTGCCACCTCGCCAAACATCTGAGGGAGGAGAAGGGGCCAGGTGGGCAGGTGGGAGAGAAAGGGATGGACTGAGCAGCGGCAACTGACGGAGCTGGATGACCGAGACATCAAACGGCTGTGGAATGTTGCACAGCACTGCGACCTCGCCGAACATCTGGAAAGGGGCGAAGGGGCCAGGGGTAGGTAGGAACCAGGGAGGGCGATAAAGATTTTTGAGGCGCCTAAAAAATGGTCAAACGGCTGTGGAATGCTGCACAGCACTGCCACCTCGCCGGACATCTGAACGGGGGCGAAGGGGCCAGGGGTAGGTAGGAACCAGGGGGAGCGGGAATGGGAAAGGCTGAGCAACGGAATGGCTATAGCATGTTGATCACTCCGAAAATCGCGCAGGAAAGAACAACACAAAACAAAACCGCGAAATGCAGCTTGACAGCGCCCGAGCTGTGTTCCGAGAAGTGTCAGCAGAGGCGGCAGCAGAGAGAGCACAGAGGCGGCAGCAGATGCCTGAATTCCCAGCACACCCCACTCCCCACACCCCAACACCCACCACCAAGGGTGGTGGGGACAAAGCAGACTTACAGAGCCTGAACCGAGCTCAGCAAAGTGCCTGCCGCCGTCAGCAGAGGAGGAAGGGGAGGTCTCCTCCACACTGCCCGAGCAGATGATGTAGAGGCGCTCGGGGGAGTCCCGGTGCTGAATGACCACCTCCGATGGGAAGTAGTGCTCAGGGATTACTTTGGTGACCTGTTTGGTGAGGTGCGGTGGGGTGCGGTGGAAGGGATGGGAGAAAGAGGTGTGTTTGGGTGGGGGGCAAGAGCAGATGATGTAGAGGCGCTCTGGGGAGTCACGTTGCTGAATGACCACCTCCGATGGGAAGTAGTGTTACCTTGGTCACCTGGCAGAGGAAGGTGGGATTCAAGACAGATTGCAAAATTGGTTAAATGGGGTGGAATGGAGCGGATAGGAGTGGAGAGGAGTGGAGAGGAGTGAGGAGGAGTTGGGCCACTCATGATCTGGTTGATGAATTCGGGGGAGCAGCCCTGGAAGATGTAGCTCTGCTCCACCAGTCGCCGGTATAGCGCGGTGACTTTTGAGTCGACTCAAAAGTCACCCCGGTACAGCGCGCGCGCCACCTTGTGGCGGATGCTGCTGTGGTGACAATGAGGGACGCTTGCTGAACCCATGCCTCCCCTCATGCATCATCCTCACCCACCGAACCCAACCACTCACGATCTGGTTGATGAACTCGGGCGAGCAGCCCTGGAAGATGTAGCTCTGCTCCACCAGTCGCCGGTACAGCGCGCGCGCCACCTTGTGACGGATGCTCACAGGGAAGTCGTTGAGAATGTTGTCCTCCACCTGGTCCGTCTCGAACTGCAGGCGCACGTGCTGTGATGGCAGGGGGCAGGGAGGAGAGAAAGAGGAACCAGGGAGGGAGGAAGTGGGAGAAAGGAGAAGGGAAGTCGTTGAGAATGTTGTCCTCCACCTGATCCGTTTCAAACTGCAGGCGCACGTGCTGTGATGGCAGGGGGCAGGGAGGAGAGAAAGAGGAACCAGGGAGGGAGGAAGTGGGAGAAAGGAGAAGGGAAGTCGTTGAGAATGTTGTCCTCCACCTGATCCGTTTCAAACTGCAGGCGCACGTGCTGTGATGGCAGGGGGCAGGGAGGAGAGAAAGAGGAACCAGGGAGGGAGGAAGTGGGAGAAAGGAGAAGGGAAGTCGTTGAGAATGTTGTCCTCCACCTGGTCCGTCTCGAACTGCAGGCGCACGTGCTGTGATGGGGAGAAGGGAGAATAAAAGATGGGGAGAAGGAACAGGCAAGTCGTTGAGAATGCTGTCCTCCACTTGATCTTTTCCGACCTACAGGCGCACGTGCTGTGATGCAAGGAGAGATGTGATAACATAAGCCGCACCCTAAACCCTCGACTCGCCTACCCCCCATCTGCTGCACTCACCTGGCTCACCAATTGTTCACAACTGCCTCCGTTGTTCTCACCTGCTCCGTCTGTTGTTCTCACCTGCTCCGTCTGTTGCACTCACCTGGCGCATCTGGTGGCGCAGCACCCGGGGAATGCGGTTGCGGTTCATGTACTTGATGACCTGCGCCATGCGCTCCCGGTACTTGGTGGTGTTGCTGCCCTTCACCACCAGTGCAGTGATGTTTCCTGGGGGGAGGGATGGAGAGCAAGGGAGGAGGGGACAGGAGAGAGGGGGTTCAAGAGACCTGAGAGCAATGCGCTCCCTGCATTGTTGCAGCACCCAGGGAATTGTTGCCATACCCACTGGTCGCCATGGTGGTAACCACGGACCAATACAGCGCCGCCACGTATCTCGATTTTTGAGGCGCCTCAAAAATCATACCCACTGGTCGCCATGGTGGTAACCAATACGGTATGTGGGACCAATACAGCGCCGCCACGTATCTCGTGAACAGGCCCACCTCGCTCCGGACATTCTCACTTACCAATGAGATAAGCAGAGAGGATGAGGTCGACAGTGATGTAGAACATGGCGAATATCATCTCCCTGGGATTCACCGGGTGAATATCCCCGTACCAAGCACCAGCCGATCCATCCAGGCGTACAGACTCTGGCTCACTACAGACAAACTCACCAATAAGATAGGCGGAGAGGATGAGGTCGACTGTGATGTAGAACATGGCGAATATCATCTCCCTGGGATTCACCAGGTGAATATCCCCGTACCAAGCACCAGCCGATCCATCCAGGCGTACAGACTCTGGCTCACTACAGACAAACTCACCAATAAGATAGGCGGAGAGGATGAGGTCGACTGTGATGTAGAACATGGCGAATATCATCTCCCTGGGATTCACCGGGTGAATATCCCCGTACCAAGCACCAGCCGATCCATCCAGGCGTACAGACTCTGGCTCACTACAGACAAACTCACCAATAAGATAGGCGGAGAGGATGAGGTCGACTGTGATGTAGAACATGGCGAATATCATCTCCCTGGGATTCACCGGGTGAATATCCCCGTACCAAGCACCAGCCGATCCATCCAGGCGTACAGACTCTGGCTCACTACAGACAAACTCACCAATAAGATAGGCGGAGAGGATGAGGTCGACTGTGATGTAGAACATGGCGAATATCATCTCCCTGGGATTCACCGGGTGAATATCCCCGTACCAAGCACCAGCCGATCCATCCAGGCGTACAGACTCTGGCTCACTACAGACAAACTCACCAATAAGATAGGCGGAGAGAATGAGGTCGACGGTGATGTAGAACATGGCAAAGATCATCTCCCTCGGATTCACCGGGTGGATATCCCCGTACCCAATGGTCGCCATTGTCACCACGGACCAGTACAGCGCCGTCACGTATCTCGTGAATAAGTCCACTTCGCGGAAATTCTCGTAGGAGAAGTCCCCGAGGGTGAGGGAGCCGATCCAGGTGTAGCCCTGCTCCTCCGGCGGCATGGTGGTGGCGAGGAAGTAGAAGAAGCAGCCCGCCACGTGGGTGATGTACATCTCCACAATTATGAGCTTTAGAAAGCGGACTGCGAAATAACTGAGCCGGATGTCCCTCTGGAGCCTGGTAAAGGGAGTGTGGGTGTATGTGGCGGGGAGTGAGGGGAAGGGGAGAAGGGAGAGGGGAGGCTGAGGAGTGAGGGAGCCGATCCGCGTGTAGCCCTGCTCCTCCGGCGGCATGGTGGTGGCGAGGAAGTAGAAGAAGCAGCCCGCCACGTGTGTGATGTACATCTCCACTATGATCAGCTTCAGGAAGCGGACGGCGAAGTAGCTTAAACGGATGTCGCGTTGGAGCCTGGTAGAGGGAGTATGGGTGTGTGAGTGACAGGGAGGAAGGGGACGGAAAGTGGGGAGAGGGGAGGCGAGGCGGTTAGAACAGGAGAAGCAGCTTCGTTAGAGGCCCTGAAGGCCCTGAAGCCTCTGAAGGGCTGTGGGGGAGAGAGGGCGGCATGGTGGTGGCGAGGAAGTAGAAGAAGCAGCCCGCCACGTGTGTGATGTACATCTCCACTATGATCAGCTTCAGGAAACGGACAGCCGGATGTCCCTCTGGAGCCTGGTGGTGGTGGGAGTGGTGGGTGGGGAGAGTGTGTGCGTGAACAGAGGCGACGTGTGTGATGCAAATCTCCACTATGATCAGCTTCAGGAAGCGCACTGCAAAGTAGCTCAGCCGGATGTCCCGCTGTAACCTGGTGAGGATGGTGTGAGTGGGGAAACAAACGTCAACCCGCTACTTGAAGCTCCTGACCCTGGGAAACCAAATGTCAAACGCTGAACATTGGAGCAGTTGTGATTAACATGTGAACCTGGGAAATCGCAGCAGCCAGTGCAGGAGGCAAGGCAGCAGCTTTGTGGTATGACTTAAGGACACCCCCCACCCGCGCACCTGTGGAAGTATCTGAAGAGGTGCCGCATCCTGAGCACTCGAGTCCACAGCACAGCAGCCACTGCAGGAGGAAAGGCATTGCAGCCGTGTGGTGTGGTAGTGACTCTCTAGACTAACATGGGAGGTCATCCGTGACTGGTTTCAGTGACCCCCGGTGGTCTGATTCTAAGACACGGCCCCACCCACGCACCTGTGGAAGTATCTGAAGAGGTGTCGCATCCTGAGCACTCGAGTCCACAGCAGCCACTGCAGCAGGTTGGCCGCTCCACTGGCGCCTGCCAGCTGTTTCACAGTACAATAAGGGGGAGTGAGGAAGAGGGGGAGGGCGGAGGAGGGGAAGAGGGGAAGAGGAGATGGTGGGCAGAATTGTGCGCATAGAGGGCAGCGTCCAAGGAGCACTCGAGTCCACACCACAGCAGCCACTGCAGCAGGTTGGCCGCTCCACTGGCACCTGCCAGCTGATCCCAGGCAGAACGGGAGGAGTGGGGGAGGGGGGAAGGGTGGAGGATGGGAAATGGAGAAGAGGAGATGGTGGGCAGAATTGTGCGCATAGAGGGCAGAGTCCAAGGAGCACTCGAGTCCACACCACAGCAGCCACTGCAGCAGGTTGGCCGCTCCACTGGCACCTGCCAGCTGAACATAGAGGCATGGAGAGGGAGGGGGGGAAGTATTCGAACATAGACATGTGCACTGAGTCGAGTTTCTCGACTCGACTCGATCGGGGGACTCGACACGGGTCGAGTGTCGAGTCCGCGAATCCCCTGAAAAAACTCGACCGAGTCGAGTCGAGTTTTACCCGTCGAGTTTTTAAAAAACTCGGTAAAAGCTCGGCCCCACATCGAGTTTTTTCCAGACTCGACGAGCGTTTGGGACTCGACCGAGTTTACGAAAAACTCGATCGCAACATTGGCAGCAAGTACAAATTGAAGGAAAAAAATACTTTGGCGGGGTCGTTTTTAGATCGTGATTTCAGTTAGTCCTCTTCCTAAGCCTATCGTAAGTGGAGACCTGAGCCTAGACAGCCAAACTCGTGGCTGGTTTTTCAGCTTAAACTGATCTCCGGTTTAGGAAATCCTAGATCTAGGCTTATAGTAAGTAAAAGTCGCGTTTTCCACATGTGCATTTTTGCGATTATGGTTCCCTGAGGCGGAAACGCATCTATTTAACGGTCGATCTGGTTTAATTATGATGGTGAAATGTATGGTGTGTTCCCCCCTCTCTCCCCGAGTCGAGTTTTACTCGGCTCGATCGAGTGTAAGAAAAAAGCCCGTCGAGTTTTTTAAAACTCGACCCCTATTTAAGCGAGTCTCGAGTCCAGCACCCTGAGAAAAAAGCTCGGTCGAGTTTCCCCCGACTCGAGCTCGAACCCGGTCGAGTTTTCACCAGAAAAAAGCTCGGTCGAGTTTTAAAACTCGACTCGGTCCGATGCACATGTCTATTCGAACAGATAGCAGTTGTGCCCACCCTGGTTGTATCTACCCTAGTTAACCCAACCTGCTTGTACCTACCCTTGTATTACCTACCCTTGTATTACCTACCCTGGTTTTACCTACCCTTGTATTACCTACCTGGTTTTACCTACCCTTGTATTACCTACCCTTGTATTACCTACCCTTGTATTACCTACCCTTGTATTACCTACCCTTGTATTACCTACCCTTGTATTACCTACCCTTGTATTACCTACCCTTGTATTACCTACCCTTGTATTACCTAACCCGGTTCTACCTACCTGGTAGAAGGTGTTCCAAGGGAAGAGCGCGAGCAGGTCCATGAGGAAGTAGGATAATAAGTACCTGCAGTAAGGCGATGGGGTGTGGTGGACCGAACCAGACAGACAGGGGGGAAGGTGAGAGCAGTGAGCGCAGGGAAAGTAGTGAAGGGGGAAGAGCGCGAGCAGGTCTGTGAGGAAGTAGGATAATAAGTACCTGCAGTAAGGCGATTGGGGTGGGGGAGGTAAGAGTGAGTTAGGCGGGGGGGTGAGCGGAGGGAAAGGGGACCAGCGCGAGCAGGTCTGTGAGGAAGTAGGAGAAGAGGTCCCTCGCACCCCATTCACCTTTCAGCGATCTTCCAGTGGCTTGTAACGAGGGTGTAGGTGTGCTTGTCCTTGAACGCGACGAAGAACGTGACCAGGAGGCAATTGGCCCCATGCCCTCTCTCCCGTCTCCTACCCCACCCCGTCTCGCTTCATTCTCTCTCTCTCAAAACCCTCGGTCTACCGCCCCAATTCACCTTTCCGCGATCTTCCAATGGCTTGTAACGAGGGTGTAGGTGTGCTTGTCCTTGAACGCGACAAAGAACGTGACCAAGAGATCGGCCAGGAAGCAGAAGTTGACTGCCACGTCAAGCCACGTCAGCCACACGGGCATGCTGTCCGCCAGGAAGGCGAACTCGAAGGGTGTGACTAAAGCGGAGTAGAATCCCAGGATTAGAGTCACCTGCTCCCATAGTAACAAATAACTGGATGGGCGAGGGAGGAGGAAAGGATGGGGGAGGAGAGGGAGGAGGGAGGAGGGGGGAGGGATGGATAAGGGAGGAGGAAGAGGGAGGTGGGAGGGAGAAGGGAGAAGGGAGGAGGGAGGAAGGAAGAGGGAGGGGGGAGGAGGAGGGAGTAGGGAGGAAGCACGGGAAGAAAGGCAAGAAATGAATAGCGAGATCCAATCTCATCAAACCAACTCACAGGAGGGAGGAAGGAGAAGGGAAGAGGGAGAAGGGAGGAGGCACAGTAGGAAAGGCAAGAAATGAATTGCGTCTTCCCCTCCACCACCAAGCCAACCTTCACAATCCATCACTAGCAGCAGCAACCCACGCGTCTCCGGGTCGATCACTCGAAGCGACGCGAGCTCCAAGTAGCGCGGCGGTCTTGGCCCTGCGCACCCCCCACCCATCCGGTCTTGGCCCTGCCCGGCAAGCACTCCCCCCACGCCATACCCACCTCCACACCCCATGACTAGTAGTCTAGTAGCAGCAACTCACGCGTCCTCCGGGTCGATCACGCGCAGCGACGCGAGCTCCATGTTCCGCGGCATGCAGATCCCGAACGTCGTCGACCGCTGCAGCATCGCGCGGTCCCTCACCGAGCCGCCGCGCACCGAGTCGCCCCCGTTCGCGCCGAGCCAGAACGAGGAGCTGCCGTCCGTGTTGACGCCTGATACGCCGGAGCCCACGCCGCTGCTGCCGCCGGGCCATCGCCCCGCGAAGGTGGAGGCGGAATCGTCACGGCCCCCCCGGTTGAATCGCCAGAAGGGTTGCCCGAGAATTGTCTCCGTCGCCCAACGCTTGATCTGAGAATAGGGAATGGAGTTAGAACGAGTGAGCATACGAACGAGTGTGATACCAACGAGTACATGTGGGAAGTGTTGCCGTCCGTTTGATTCATCTGAAAATGCGGGACCGTGCGGCAGGAGTGCAAGGACTGCGTTTTTTTATGGACTCCAACGGACAAACATGAGCATGACCGGCCACAAACATCCATCACTAGCAGACTCGAGGAGATGTCCTCGGAGGACGTGTCACGAGGAGATGTCCTCGGAGGACGTGTCACGAGAACGACAACGGTCCGTCAGCCACGAGAACGAGAACGAGAACGATAACTTTTCGCCCTAGAGAACGAACGATGTAGAAACGTGAGGCCAGATCCATTAGATACTTCCAAGTCGGTTTTCTCAATCAAAATATCGAAACGAAGGCGGTCACACGGCGAGACGTTGACGTTGACAGACCGTCAGTTTTTGGCGAAACCTGGACAACGGACTCGCACCTGCTTGCCGACCGACAGCTCGACGTCCTCATTGTCGAACCGGCTGCTTTCCGGCAATTTGAAATCCGCATCGCGATTCCTTCCTCTACCCATTTTCGCCTCTTTTCCACAAGCTAGAGAGAAACGGCGGTAAGTGGCTAACCAAGCAAGCTCGCTTCAAGTTTGACTTGGAAGTTTGGACACCACGCTTTCGATATCAAATCCTAATACGGCCTTCGCAGATTGGCGTTGAAGCTTGAAACATTGCAACAAGCATTCTCTTCGCGATTTAAAGTCCAAGCTTTAGGATTTTTGCTAGGTGACACCTTTTTAGGAGATTGAGGTCACAACAGCTCTGGTAATCAACCGTCGCTAAGCGTTAGATATGCAATTAGCAGTATTGAGCTCTCGTGCTTTCGAAATTATGCTGCCACGAAACCTCACAGTAACTAGAGAATCAGCTCCGCGACCTCGACGATCCCAAACGAAGAAAAATAACTATTAGTTATCTTGCCTTCAGCAAAAGACGACGAAATGGCCATCAGCACAGGGAGACAGTTCTTGGTGCTGACGTTTAGCGGGATAAAACACGACAGGAGAAACAGCACTCACAAGCAAAGGAAATGGACGGGAAAAAGGAAGCAAGAAGCAGAGAGCTAACATCGAGGGTGAATGGGAACATGGGAACTTGGGGATTACCGTGACGTGTCTTGAGCAGCTCAGGGCTTGTCCCAAAAGATTGGCTTTCCGTTCAACACCTAATCGCTCTAGATACTTATTTCACCGCTTTGGAACGCAGATCACCTTGTTGAGCCTCATGGAGGAAAACATTTGGGGGGGACACGCGCTTTTGAGGCGATCCTTGTTCACCATCATCGCAGTTGCGGGCACTAGTCTTTTCGCGTCGTCGCGTGACATGAACCATGACGGGGAATCGAAAATACCTTGGGCATTGCCATTGGATGGTTGGAGAAGATGCTGGGCAAAAACATTCGAGAGCTGGACCACGTGGGCAACCATGTGGAAGATACCTTCCTTCCTGCCCTTTATCCAAAAAAACGTCGCAGCGCGCAATTTTGGTCACTTCTGCCATCTGTGCGACATGGTCTGGCGTGTGCTGTTTATTCTGGCGGCTCCCCCAAGGTCATATGAACCCCCTGCACTCGGGGAGTTCGTATTGGTAGAAAAAAAGGAAGGCTTGCCGAGGTGGCATTCACCGAATGGCCTTAAATGCGAGCACGGAAAAGCGGAACGAACCTTCCCTACACAGCCCTCCCGAAAAGGACGTCCGATAAGAGATGCCTAGATCTGGAAACACAAAACGAATGGCACAAATGTCCTAAAATTACTTTTATATATTGATTTGTACCACGTACTTACAATACTATATGGTTGGAGGGGGGACAACAACCAGCATGTCAAGTCGATACAATCGAAGTGCATTGTTGTGCAGAATTCCACATGCCGCTTGGAAAGCCTCTGGAAGAGTGAGATCGCCTCCTTGCACAATTGATGCAAGAGCAAGAAAGAGGATGCGCCATCCCCACATAGCACCTGTTTATTAACAAACATGCAGACGGTATTACATCATATAACCAATAACAACAAACAAACAAACATCTTCGTAAAATAACGACAGCTCACTCAAATAGAAAGGCTCGGCGAATCCCAGAGCGTCTGTGCTCATCATGACCTGATACATAGGGCGGCAAAACAGGTGTCATGTAACGATGCATCTTGAGAGGAATACATGGGGATATCTGGAGAACTGAGTCGTGTGAAGCCAATACGGCAATTAAAAACAAAAAATCGAACAGACAGGAATATAACAAGTACATGCACGATAGCAGAGCACGGGGTCCTTTTAAGAGGGGCGAAGTCAAGCAGTCAACGCAAGTTGCGGGAGGCGCAACAAGCATTACTGAGGGGAGAAAGGTCAAGCAAGGTCAATGCAAGTCAAGCGGGAGTGGGACAAGACAACGAGCACGGACCTTGTTGAGAGGGGCGAGGTCAAGCAAGGTCAATGCAAGTCAAGCGGGAGTGAGACAAGTCAACGAGCACAGACCTTGGTGAGAGGGGCGAGGTCAAACAAGGTCAATGCAAGTCAAGGGTGAGTGTTAGTGAGACAAGTCAACGAGCACGGACCTTGGTGAGAGGGGTGAGGTCAAGCAAGTCAAGGAGGGCGGCCTTCATGCCTGAGAGGGAGAGCTTGCTGAAGACCAGCCCATAGTCGACATACACCTGAGAGAGAAGGATGGAAGACGTGTGGAAGGAACAGGGATGAAGCTTGTAGGCATATGTGGTATAACACTTGCTGAATACCAGCCCACAGTCCACATACACGTGAGAGAGAAGGATGGAAGACGTGTGGAAGGAACAGGGATGAAGCTTGTAGGCATATGTGGTATAACACTTGCTGAATACCAGCCCACTGTCCACATACACCTGAGAGAGAAGGATGGAAGACGTGTGGAAGGAACAGGGATGAAGCTTGTAGGCATATGTGGTATAACACTTGCTGAATACCAGCCCACAGTCCACATACACCTGAGAGAGAAGGATGGAAGACGTGTGGAAGGAACAGGGATGAAGCTTGTTGGCATATGTGGTATAACACTTGCTGAATACCAGCCCACAGTCCACATACACCTGAGAGAGAAGGATGGAAGACGTGTGGAAGGAACAGGGATGAAGCTTGTAGGCATATGTGGTATAACACTTGCTGAATACCAGCCCACAGTCCACATACACCTGAGAGAGAAGGATGGAAGACGTGTGGAAGGAACAGGGATGAAGCTTGTAGGCATATGTGGTATAACACTTGCTGAATACCAGCCCACAGTCCACATACACCTGAGAGAGAAGGATGGAAGACGTGTGGAAGGAACAGGGATGAAGCTTGTAGGCATATGTGGTATAACACTTGCTGAATACCAGCCCACAGTCCACATACACCTGAGAGAGAAGGATGGAAGACGTGTGGAAGGAACAGGGATGAAGCTTGTAGGCATATGTGGTATAACACTTGCTGAATACCAGCCCACTGTCCACATACACCTGAGAGAGAAGGATGGAAGACGTGTGGAAGGAACAGGGATGAAGCTTGTAGGCATATGTGGTATAACACTTGCTGAATACCAGCCCACTGTCCACATACACCTGAGAGAGAAGGATGGAAGACGTGTGGAAGGAACAGGGATGAAGCTTGTAGGCATATGTGGTATAACATTTGCTGAATACCAGCCCACAGTCCACATACACCTGAGAGAGAAGGATGGAAGACGTGTGGAAGGAACAGGGATGAAGCTTGTAGGCATATGTGGTATAACACTTGCTGAATACCAGCCCACTGTCCACATACACCTGAGAGAGAAGGATGGAAGACGTGTGGAAGGAACAGGGATGAAGCTTGTAGGCATATGTGGTATAACACTTGCTGAATACCAGCCCACTGTCCACATACACCTGAGAGAGAAGGATGGAAGACGTGTGGAAGGAACAGGGATGAAGCTTGTAGGCATATGTGGTATAACACTTGCTGAATACCAGCCCACAGTCCACATACACCTGAGAGAGAAGGATGGAAGACGTGTGGAAGGAACAGGGATGAAGCTTGTTGGCATATGTGGTATAACACTTGCTGAATACCAGCCCACAGTCCACATACACCTGAGAGAGAAGGATGGAAGACGTGTGGAAGGAACAGGGATGAAGCTTGTAGGCATATGTGGTATAACACTTGCTGAATACCAGCCCACAGTCCACATACACCTGAGAGAGAAGGATGGAAGACGTGTGGAAGGAACAGGGATGAAGCTTGTAGGCATATGTGGTATAACACTTGCTGAATACCAGCCCACTGTCCACATACACCTGAGAGAGAAGGATGGAAGACGTGTGGAAGGAACAGGGATGAAGCTTGTAGGCATATGTGGTATAACACTTGCTGAATACCAGCCCACAGTCCACATACACCTGAGAGAGAAGGATGGAAGACGTGTGGAAGGAACAGGGATGAAGCTTGTAGGCATATGTGGTATAACACTTGCTGAATACCAGCCCACAGTCCACATACACCTGAGAGAGAAGGATGGAAGACGTGTGGAAGGAACAGGGATGAAGCTTGTAGGCATATGTGGTATAACACTTGCTGAATACCAGCCCACAGTCCACATACACCTGAGAGAGAAGGATGGAAGACGTGTGGAAGGAACAGGGATGAAGCTTGTAGGCATATGTGGTATAACACTTGCTGAATACCAGCCCACAGTCCACATACACCTGAGAGAGAAGGATGGAAGACGTGTGGAAGGAACAGGGATGAAGCTTGTAGGCATATGTGGTATAACACTTGCTGAATACCAGCCCACTATCCACATACACCTGAGAGAGAAGGATGGAAGACGTGTGGAAGGAACAGGGATGAAGCTTGTAGGCATATGTGGTATAACACTTGCTGAATACCAGCCCACAGTCCACATACACCTGAGAGAGAAGGATGGAAGACGTGTGGAAGGAACAGGGATGAAGCTTGTAGGCATATGTGGTATAACACTTGCTGAATACCAGCCCACTGTCCACATACACCTGAGAGAGAAGGATGGAAGACGTGTGGAAGGAACAGGGATGAAGCTTGTAGGCATATGTGGTATAACACTTGCTGAATACCAGCCCACTGTCCACATACACCTGAGAGAGAAGGATGGAAGACGTGTGGAAGGAACAGGGATGAAGCTTGTAGGCATATGTGGTATAACACTTGCTGAATACCAGCCCACAGTCCACATACACCTGAGAGAGAAGGATGGAAGACGTGTGGAAGGAACAGGGATGAAGCTTGTAGGCATATGTGGTATAACACTTGCTGAATACCAGCCCACTGTCCACATACACCTGAGAGAGAAGGATGGAAGACGTGTGGAAGGAACAGGGATGAAGCTTGTAGGCATATGTGGTATAACACTTGCTGAATACCAGCCCACTGTCCACATACACCTGAGAGAGAAGGATGGAAGACGTGTGGAAGGAACAGGGATGAAGCTTGTAGGCATATGTGGTATAACACTTGCTGAATACCAGCCCACTGTCCACATACACCTGAGAGAGAAGGATGG